GGTGTCCTCACCAGGACACGAACCGGCGACCTTCTAGCTGCGAGGCAACAGTGCTAACCACCAACCAATCTTGCAGCCCTCTTTCATAATGTGTGACTGTAAAATTACACAGTTTTACAGATTTTTAAGTCTAGTTTTCTAAGCATTCAAAACATCTCTAGGTCATGAAGTCTAGAGTTCATCACAAACATCAGCCCTCTTGAAAGACAGAAAAAAAATCTTTATTACGCTTTAAAGTCTCATTATAATCAGCCAATTAGAGTCAGGTTTATGTCATCATGTGATCACGTGAGCTCTTTCCTTCATGTGAACACAGTGATGACTGACTGATTCAGCTGAAGACGGTTCATCACCAACATGCTCCTCACAGTCTTTTACCTGTCTCTACTCTTACACTCAGGTGGGTTCTGTGTATTCACTCTACCAGGCTTTCCACCATATTTACAGATCACATATTCTCATGAAGTTGCCCATCATCTTATGTTGTCATAAAACATCGTCCTTCGTGTGCTGTAGGTCTCAGTGTCTTAGTTCTTCAGTCTGGAGACCAGATATGTCACCAACGAGACCCTGTGATGCTGGAGTGCAGCCTGGCTAAAGGGTTCGACATGAGCAGCTACACCATGCACTGGTACCGACAAAAAAACCGCCACGGAGCTCAGATCGAGCATTTGATCACAGAGTATCAGGACAGTTCGGGGCGCTTCAAGTCGTCGTTCAATTCAGCAAAAACCAGCTTCTCTCTGCAGATTCCTGACCTGTTCCTGAACGACAGCAGCGTCTACTACTGTGCTGCCAGACACAGTGATGCACTCAGAGCAGGCAGTCATACAAATAACGAGACAGATGGCAGGAAGGAGCTGTGGTTTGTCTGGGTTTCATCTAACAGAGGAAAGTAGGTGAAGACACACGGGGACAACACTGGGCTTTTAGCTAATATTAACTAAACATGGCAGAACTGAGTTAATATCCTATGTGTCAAGAAAATACTTCATCAGGTATTTTCTGTGTTCCAAAAGGGGCTATTGGTTGTAAATCAAGGCAAGAATCTGGAAAAAAAAAAAGAGGCCAGTAGCTGCAGATCCAGAAATACCTGCAGAAATCAAAGGGACGTGCTGTGTAACTGGCCTGTATGTGCTCCCATCTTCCTGGAACTGTATACGTGAGCTCCAGGTCCCAGCCAGAGCGCCATGGACGCCACCTCGGCCCGCCATTAAACAAGAACTGGTGGGCTTACACTCACAACGCCACTTGGGGGCGTGGCCACGACCATACGCATTTTAAACCTGAAATAAGTTTTATTTTTTAAGTTTTTCTATCACGCTGTCTTACCTTGTTGAAGCTAAAGTTACGATAAAGTCTCAAATCTTGCAGAATCGACTTCGAGATGCTCACGAACGAGAACTTCAACCTGCAGTTGCTGCTCAGCGTCCACCAGGAGATGGATGCTGTACAGAGAAACATGAAAGTGGGCAGAGTTAAAGGTAACAGAAGAGAAGGAGGGCGAGGATTTGGAGGTAGTTTAGAAGTTTAGATTGCAGACGTTCACTAAGTCACACCTTCAGCTGCTCAGCCTGACCGGAGGGTTAATGGAGACTCTAATGAACGTCTTCTTGGTTGCACTTCTGATCTTCTCCAGTATGAACATTTATGCTCCTCAAACACTTTCCTTCTCAAGATATGCTTTGTTTACTTGTTGTCTTTCTGCTTGTTTTCCAGATGTCTGTTTCTGCGTAAAAATCCAGCAGCCTCCGTTTGTGTTCAGCCGTGACGGAGATGCGACGGGGACTCTGGCGTGCGAACAGGACGACTCTCAGTATTATTACATGTTCTGGTACAGGCAAAGAAACGGCGGCAAAATAGAGCTCGTAACGTATTCTCTTGCCAAAGACGACTGGAAAGTTGAAGGTCCGTTCAACAAATCCAAGTACACCATGTCCAGGCCTTCTTTGCTCAGTTCAAGTCTGCAGATCCACCCGGTGAAGGCTGAAGACTCGGCTGTTTATTATTGCGCTTCCAGTAGAGCACAGTGGTTCAGAAAGCCTCAGCAGCTGTACAACAACTAGAAGAGGAAACCAGGAGGAGAAATGAATGAGAAACTGTGATGCGCTGAACCCTGAAAGGCCCTGAGAGGCATTTAGTTGAGGTGTGGCATTAATTTGACAATAAAAAAAGGGAAAAATCTAAATAATAACCCATGCATCATAAGTTCTGCGTGATTCTTAAAGGCAGAAGAAGTGTGTTTTCTACAGTTCAGCGATGCTTCTGCAGCACCACGAAGCTGATCGTGGTCAGATAATAGAGCAGGTGTCGGGTTAAGTTGGGTTCACTACCTCCGTGCAGCATTATTATCCTGTACAGCTTCTTATTTGTGTCACTCTGTGCACAAGACTGTAATGTCATATAAAATCAAATCTGTGTGCAGAATGGCGACATAAAGATGGATCAAAAAATAAGAGGTTAGCAGATGCTGACCTCTACAGGGTTCATGTGAGATTACAGTCAGGTGTTGGAGTTTAAAGAAGAGTCAATGCAGCATGTGCGTGAAGTTACACGGAAAATCGAATAAATGTTATTAAAATGGGCTCTATGCTTGCTATGATAAAGATTAAATATGTAGATCTTCAAGCTCGATCACTGACTCATCATTAAAAACCCTCTGAACTCTGTTTTCTCGCTCCTGTCACATTTTTCTTCACTGTGAGCTCATTTTTCGCTGCAATGTAAAGTCCTGCACCTCTATGGAAACAGTACAACCATGACTACAAGTATAGAGAACTCATACATGTCTCCTGTGCAGTGTGACACTTTATATTGACGTAAATCATTCAAAAACAAAAAATAAAAGTTGAATTTCTTCGATTATATATTTTCTAGAAAACTGAAAACACTTGAAATCAATACGTCTAACACGTTCCCAAATGCCCACAGGTGGTACCAATATTTTAAATGACTAAATGTGGACTCAACATGCTAGATTTGGTTATTTAACTAAACCGATATATGATAATATGACCCCTACGGACTCTGCACACCAGCTCTGTTCAGATGTTTCACTATGATGAATGTATGGACCAACAGCTGCTCCCCTGCTCACCATGTCTGAACCAGGCTGCACTTAGTTTATGTATGAAGTATGTTATATTTTTATATTCTTTCAATTTGTCTTGTTGTCTCCTCTCTGCTTTGTAGACACACAGTCAGACAGAAAGAAAGTAAAATGAAAAAATCCATAAAAATCCACAGAAAAATGAGAAGCAAATGTGTCAGCAAAACAAAGGAAAACTAATGGCANCAACTATCCTGCTTACTTTGGCAAAGGCACCAAACTGACAGTTTTGGGTAAGAAAATGAAAAAACTATAAACATCTGTGCTCATTTTTCCAAACTTAAATGTGAAAATGAATGTTAGGTTGTAAAACTCTCCTGTTTTAGTGTCTTAGTTTAGTGATTTCCCAGAGAAACCATCTGTTGCTGCAAACCTTAAACTCAAAACTGCTAAATTTCAGACAGACTGCGACTAAATCTTTCTGTTTTGTGCGTAAATATCTACATTAAGTTTAGATATTTTTACTTTTAAGCTGTAAAAAAAACCCGTTAATTCATCTTTAAGGATGTCTGTGACAGCCAACAGCTGTTCAACAGATGCTAAAATTGTTGATTTTGTTTTTTTTGCTTCAAGAGTGAAGTTATAAACCTATTTAAAATGTGATGTAGTGACTGTAAGAGGTGCATAAGTCTGTCAGTTTTTGTGCCTGTGAGGTGTCAGTGTGCTCTGGAACTTATCCTGCTTATTTTGGAGAAGGAACCAAACTCACAGTTCTTGGTAAGATCAATAAGTTCATTAAAACGTCCTGCAATGAAGTGACTGAACAGCAAGGAAACGTTTACAAGTAAATTTAACTGTATATGTGCTGGTAAAAGTACAACAGAAACTTCAGCAGAAGGTGTATTTTCTAAAATCTTAGGCTTTAAATGTGTGTTTTACGTGTAGCTGTTGGTAGAAGTTGTTCAGTTTATCTCAAACACAGAACAAAGACAGTCTACAGGTGTCTGACCTGAAAACTTGAGCAGTTTTTCTGCAGCCTTGTATCAGTGTGGACGGGTATAACCCTGCTTACTTTGGCAAAGGCACCAAACTGACAGTTTTGGGTAAGAAAACTTAAAAAAA